AAAAAAAAAAAAAAAATTGAAAAAGAAAAAAAAAAAAAAAAAAAAACACATATGAAGAAACACAAAAACTTCTCAATGCAAATCATAAAAGGGGAAAAAAAAGCTTAACATACTGTTGCATTTGTCATTGCTAGCTTATTAACTCATTAAATGTTAAGTCTATCATTTATTTCTGCAGTTTTTGAATCAATTTAAAGTCAAACTTCTATAATTTGAAGAAGTTTTGATAACTCAAGAGTATTTTTGAAACTTTAGCAAAAATACCGGCTTCACATCGAATAATTTTTTCATTCAACATAACAAAACATAACAAATCGATTTTTGTTGAAAATCCAAAGAAACTTATATTTGCTAAACATTAATTCTAATCTATAAGTTGATTTTAATGAGAAAAAAAATTAAACATTTACAACCTCAAATACTTTCTAAATTTCAAAACAATTCTCAACTAACAGCATGAAGATACCAACAATCCTGAGAAGGAAAAGTATCAAAATTTCTCTTCATTTTTTTTTTCTACCCAAAAACTAGCAAATAGTAACATGATAAAATTTTGATTTTGATTTAAGTAGGAAAATGCCATGTTTGAAAAGGGGAAGCAAATGCGAAATATTTATTCAGTTTTCTATTAGTCGTATTTTCTATAATCCAAATGACCATTGGCCAAAGTCTGGGATTCATCCTTAATGATGATCTGAAGATAATACTGGTTACACCTGTGTTTGTTTTTCTTTGCCTGCAAGTTTAAAATGTTTGTTTGCATGTCTTAAAGGGTGTCGGTCAGTAAACCTAAGTTGTCTATTGATGGCACTATTAAAACTCATTCTTTTGTTTTCATTTGAGGATCTTTTTGGGGTCCAAAACATATGGCCACTTTACCAAAAATTGAAAATTTAGAAAGAGTGAAAAATTGTTGATAATAATAATATAAGGGATTTCTTTCGAAGCATTTCTCAAAAGTTGGCAAACATTCATTTCTGAAACGACAAAATTTTTTTAAAAACAAGAATAAAATTCAAAATATTATAAAATAGTCATAATTACTCTATATTTATTAAAAAATAATAAAATGCACATTGAGTGCATTTTCGACGAAGAAAGTGGGGCCTGGCAGACAATTTTTTAATTGTCATATTTAGTCATTCTATGGCCAGTGGCGACTGTCAATTTCGCCCTATAATACCTGCTATGGCTTACCTGTTGTTATGTACTTTACTTGTCAATTGGTGCAATATGTATTCCGGGTCATAGTCCGTGCTCAGTTTATAGATTGTTTAAATGTCATCATGTTTGATACATTATTGTTTTTTACAACTGTAATACATCTCTAAGTATTTCTGTCCATTGTATCATCTCTGATTTTCATGAATAAAGAGCAACTTTCAGTCATTTTCTTTAATCAACAAGTTATCATGGTGTTAGTCTACTATCCTTCATGCTTCACATGAAATTACATTGTTTCTAAAATTCTGCAAGTGCTTAGGTTAAAAGATGGCACCATTAAAAAGTAAGCAAACTCTTACTTGAATTTTAGAAATCCATTTTCAAATTAGAAATCGACTTATTAGAGCTTTGTAAAACAATTATATACATACCTCATGTAAGAATAAAGCACTAAGACTCATATCGGCAGCTCGAAGTTCCATAGGATTCAATTCTTGCACTGAATGAACATCTATTTCATTTGTAGTCAAACTGTAAAATACAAATATGAAAAACTTATTATTATTTAAAAACCAGTTACAATAGAAAAACTATAGATTTTGGATAAATTTTTGCATAGAATTTATTATCTATGTAAAAAAAATTAACCAAGTTTTAATACATTTTATTACTATATTTTAATTCAGAAATTTTTTTTAATACCCAGAATTGACTGCATACATATTTTAATATGCAGAATCGGATAAAACTATAAACTTTATCCAGTAATTTAATGTATTTGTCATGATTAAAATACGAAATCAATTCAGAGAAAAATATTCTAATTCTGTGTAGATCACGTCATAAGAGTAAATAAAATTTAAAATAATTTAAGAATAATAGCAAACAATTTAGAACCAGTACTTAATGAACTAAGAACATGAAAGGTTGTGAGAAAACTTGAACTTTATTAAAACTATGGGGGAATTTGACACGTACCAGCATTGTTTTGGCACTGCTGCTTTACATGTTGCAAATAAAATAGGCATCTCAAAGTTATGCGATTTTCCCCAATCTATCCCTTTAGCTTAGCACATTATCTGTAAATATTGCTTTTTTCAAACGCCAGTATATTCTCACTTTTTACTGAAATGTACTGCTGTAGGAAAAAGCAAGATTTATTGTAATTATGGTAACAGAAAAGAGAAAAGTGTAGAGGGTGGGAAAAATCGTGTTATCTTGAGAGGCTTATCTTATTTACAAATAGTATATTGATCTACTAAAAAAGCATGCGCACCTTACATATTTTATACTTTTTCTAAATAATAATGTTTCCTTTCAATTCATAATTTAAAAGTATTAACTGGCATTCTGAATAATATATAGATTGTGAATTATCTTTCTAACTTTGACACAAATTAACATCCAACAAAAGCAAGATAAGCAAGTTTTGGTGTTTTACATGATTTGATAATATACCCATATATTTAAAAATACTCATTGAAACAAATAAACTTGATTGCATCATTAAAAAAAGAAATTACTATTTACTGCACATAATTAGTATGTTCATTTTCTCGCAAGTGTCGAGGCTGTTATTTTAAGTGATTTTGAGGTTGTGTTTAGCTACAGTTAGATGTATCCAAATGAATAAAAAGTAAGAAAGTTGCAAATTTTTTACTCATATATTTTGGAGTATTTCTAGGTACTATTTTTACATTTTATGTGGTTACGATATAAAAAATAATTAAATTTTTAATAGGCTATAAAATTATTAACAAGCAACATAATTTAGTTATAATTCCTTATATTTAAAACGTTATTGTAGCAGTAACCAACCCACGAGCCGCGACACACTAGTGAGTCAAATTCAGTGTGGTGCCTGGTCTAGAGGCTAGTTGAGAGTCTAAACCAAGATACATCTTGAGGACAAATACCAGTTTTTTCAAAACAATTTACTAGTTTTACCATTTCAATATTCGTCCAATATATAATAGACATCTATTACTTCGTATATACTTTACTAGTATATTTGGTAGTCAGCCGCAAAGTTTTTTTTTATTTTTTACTAAATTGGTAGTCTGCAATACTTTGTTATTGCTAAACAAAGCTGAAAAAGATCATTGCTAACAGGGTGACTATGCCAGATCAGAAACAAATGTCCCTGACTTTTCCATAACAACATACGAATTTCAGCAGTCGAATTGTTGAAGCGCTTCATTAAAATATTCTTATAAGAAACAAATAATGCTTCATAAATTTTTAATCATTGTATAATGTAATAAAGGCATGTGAACAGACTAATGAAAATGCATGATAATGATAGAAATCTTTTAGTTGCTGGTTTTTCGGACCAGCCAGGAATGTTTCTTAAATTCTACACCTCTATCATAATTTTTTTGCGCAATATTGGTCAGTGCATCACAAAATGACCAAAGCAATTTTCAGTGGAATCAATAAATTCAATTAAACCAGTCATGACTTACCTAGGCAGGGCGTCCTGAACAAGATAAGGTGGGCCTTCAGCATGGCTCAGCCCACCCTTCATTCTCAAATGATCTTTATTGTATGAAGACAATGTCATGCTGGTGCTCCCTGCTGGAAGATGTTGGGATTGATGGATGCTATTTACAAGACTGGCATACTAAAAAAACAACAATCATGGTTACGGAATATAAAAACTATGGTAAAAGAAATCAGTAAAACCTGTGAATTTGGTAATTCACAGGTCAGACAACATTACTACTTTACAGCAGCTGAACAAAAAAATATTTTAAAAACTATGTTTCTCAAATAGACTAAAATGGAGAAAATAGTTTAATAGAAGTTTATTATGAAAGTGAAGAGTTGAGCATTTCTCATTTTAGAGTAATAAAAATTAATTTATTGTTTTTAGCATACCTGAAAAACGTAGTTTTCAAACTTTTTACATTGTTTAATTATTTTCATTCTTTTGTTAGTTTTTACTAGCTAGTCAGGAATGGGATATTTCTAAACTTACATTTCCATCACACACAAGACTTTTGACAGCTTTAACCACGTCAGTTAGTTGGAAAGTAGTGAGAAATAAGCACCTTTTAAGTACTTTTTAAGCACTCAAAAAATATTTTTAAGCTCTTTTTTTATTGTTATATTAGCCAACATAAAAAGATCAAAAGATTTTAGAGGGTGGAAAATGAAGCCTGAAATGGAGAATATCTTGCAAAATGCAGCAGAGTTGCACAAGTGCTAGAATCTCAACGAACCTAGCTCAGCAGACGCACACGTGGACTAGCAAGTATTTCATCAAACATATAAAATGACTGGCACTTATGCTACAGACGGACAGTACGCCCGAATGGATCGTAATTGAATGAATTGTGAAAGCGTTACATAGAATGTGAAAACTATACTTTAGTATAATAATTGGCGAAAATCGACATAGTAAAGAAAAAAAATTCATTTTCGAAAAGGGAACATTAAGTACTTTTTAAAAATGCTAAGCAGCATGTTTTTGCTCACCTTTAAAAATTCAATATAAGATAGTTTCCAGTTTAATTAAAATTCTTAACTAAACAAAAAAAAATTTTTTTTTTACTACATTTATTTGCTTATTCTCTTATATTTATTCTATATTTTTAAATTTATTTACTATATTTTTTTTTTATTTATTTACTATATTCTTTTACTTTTTACTTTACTATTTTTTACTTTAATTTACTATATTATTTATTGCAAGAATTGTAAGTCTAAAAGTTTTTATGATTTGAAAACTCTTATTTGAGTTCGATTTTTTTTCCAACTGAAGAACTGAAAGAGTACGAAAATTAAATACAACAAACACAATGAGGCAAAACACTTACTTTAGACCCCATTGTGGTGAGTGAATTGAGTGAACTATAGTATGCATTCATCTGTCCAGGTGCAGCTCGTGCAGTAATAACTGATAAAAATATAAATCAAGGGTAAAACAATGAGTAAAAGATTTTAAAAGACATCTATTATTATTAATAACAATATTAATAATAAACTCACCTTGTTCCTTGAATTCATCAAAGAACCTATTTGAAGGATCAGGTGGTACCCAGTGTGGATTCATCATCTAAAGATAAGAGGGAATTTTAATTTCTTTTCATAAAAATGAACTTAACATAATTGAGGTCCTTAACCCAAAAGCATGATAACCAGGTAAGTGCCTTAAACTTGAAGCAATACATGATTTGAAATTATGTATATAATCTTGCCATGAAGAATTATGTGGGATTTAGAACAGACAAATGACATAAATATTTCATAAGTTATTAAACTTTTTCAAAAATCACCAATTTTGTGATATTTTCTCACTTAAGGTCTGGTTTCTTAGGACAAGCGCCTTATCTGGGCATCAGCGGGATGTTGACGAACCGCTGACGCCAACAAAATGCTGGTTTGTTAGCTCAAGGCCTGGTTTCTTAGAACTAGCTCCTTATTTAAGCGTCAGCGGTAAGTTGATGTAGAGCTGATGCCAAAATTAATACTTTTTTGTTAGCTCAGCGTGAGCAGTCGGTCCAACGCAAACATTATCTCTCATTGCGCATGCGTAATAATGTAAACAAATATTTCTTTTGAATTTGTATTGATTTTGTTATTGTCGACCAGTGTTTTAGAGAACAAATAATCACTTTGTCCAGGAAAAAACACATTATAGCTGAGCTAAATGAAGAGTGCTATGTTTAATGAAGAAGCTATGTTTAATGTCAAAATCAAAATCTTGGCTGATTTCAATGTGCTGTTGGATGTTGTCCGCCATTGCTTCTGTGGTTAACGTCACGTTGTAATCCAACTGCAGTTGAGTTGGACGGCAATTGTAGCTCAAGATGAGCTTTCGATGACGTATACTATCAAACTCACAAATGGACCAATCAGAGGTTAGCGCTGATTTCCAGCTGACGGCGCCCTGTCCTAAGAAACCAGGCCTTTAGATGAAAATTATCAAAATCAATAAGTTTTTAAATATTAAAAAAAATTTGATGACAAACGCTTTTTATTTTCACAAAACTGAGGCTTTTCTCCATATCGATCGTTTTTTTTGCCCATTTTCAAAATAAGCATAGACAGCGCTCGCTTTAGATAGGCTAAACTTGACATAACAGTCATAAGTAAACTTACAGCAGTTATAGAAATAGCATATTATTCACGAAAAAGCATAATTTCATATTAACAAGGATCCTTTGATAAACAGCCTTAGATAGAGGGAAAATAAGAAACCTTAAAAGGAGCAATGCAACAAATAAAAATTGAAGCAGGTACTTAAAATATCATTGGTTATTGAATTTTTATTTTAATTCAATAATTAAAGCTCCAAATCTATTAAATTAAGTAGAATGAGATGGGCCGGGCATGTAGTGAGAATGAGCCCAGAACGAACAGCATTGAGAGTCTCTAATGCAACCCCCTCCCATAAAAGGCCAAGAGGAAGGCCCAAAAAGAGATGGAAGGACTGTGTAGATGAGGATTTTGCCATCCTAAAAGTAAAGAACTGGAAAACAATTGCTGGGAGAAGGGCAGAATGGGAAAAGCTTCTGAGGAAGGCCCAGGCTCACAAAGGGCTGTCGTGCCAATGCTGATGATGATAATTAAAGCTCCATGTTTTTCATGAAATAAGAATTCTGATAATTTCAAATGCAGCCAAACAATATTTAAAAAAGTAATTTGTATATGATACCTCAGTTCAGCATTTCAATAATTATGTGACTAATAAATTACCAAGAGGATTAAAAATTATTTTAAATGAACTGCACAAAGATAATTTCTTTTATATTATAACAGGCATTCAACAGCAGACACATTTTTGGGTTGACAGCTGGCTATGTTCAATTCTGTAGCCTCGAAATTTGAACCAATATTCATAATTAATTTGAAGGTAGATTTCTTCGAGCAGCACTTTAAAATTTTTTCAACTTCTTAAGGTTAGCTCGACGACAAGAGATTTTAACTGACGATCTGTTTACCACTAAGGATATTATAGGTCAGAATCTTGGGCAGAATTTATATCAATCAGCCATCACTGAAAGTAACCTTATAGGGAGGCAAAATCTCTATTTCTGAACAAACCAGCTCAAAGACATTGATCGAAAAATTTGAAGAATCTCTACCATACAAGATTTGCTAAAAATAATAATTTGCATGCTCTAAAAATAATAATTAAGTAAAGAACTTTTCAATTCAAACATATAAAACTTCATTGTTGACAAATATAATAAGGTTTTCTTTCCTCAAAAAATAACTCAAGGCACTAAAAATTTTTATGAAAAAATTAAGATAGAATAGATATCTCTATCACTTCAAAACATTTCGTGGATGATCATTTAGTTCAACATATTAAATTTTCAAAAGTTAAAAAATAGAGCTGATGATCAAGTGTGATATAACATAAATGCCTTATATTTTTAGAGAATAAGTTTTAAATGAAATTTTGAATGAAAACTACAAGTTATTGTTTCAATTTTACAATGGGGCAAAATTTAAAACCCTAATAAATAAAAAAAATTCTCGATAAACTGGAGATCTGTTCTATGGACAGAATAGTAGCACTCTTATAGTAACAGATACCAAAGTTCAACGCTGCAGCCTTGTAATTTTGAGTCTAATACAGAAGAACTTCTGGATCAAGTATTGGGAGAAATTTGCTTCTGTGGAGAACTTTTAGATGAAACTAACCAGCATATAGGTTCCATAGAGAGGAAAACCACAAAAACCTCCCACGGTCAGCGTGAGAGCAAGGGAACTCTAACCCATGATCCGTCTACCACTGAGGTCATTTTTACGTTAACACTGTGGTTGACGCAAGCCAAGTGGGGAATTCGTAACGATCCGCCATCTCTGGGATTTAAACCCAGTTTACCTCACTGGGAGGCAAACACTCTATCCCCTGAGCCACCATGGCTCAATAACAGATATTAAAAAAAAATTATTCAAATTTCTGGCTGTAAAAAGATGTTATGGCCAGATGCATTTTGCTAAATGTATAAAGTACAGTAGAACCTCGATCAACCGAGCTTCGATTAACCGAGGTTTCTGTTAACCGAGGCAATAACGAAGTCTAAGTTTTTTTTTCTTCTTCTTTTTTGAGACGATGCTACACCGATGGATCTCCTATTGCTCAAAAATTGGCGCTATAGGGCAGCCCATGATAGAAATTCTGGACTTTTGCAACGAAAGGTAACAGACTTTTTTAAAAGAATGTGAATTTAACAAATTAATGTATATTAAATTTTAAAAATACACTATTTTTTTGAGATTTGTGCTATTTTTGAGAATGCGTCTTTCGATATTTAACTAGGTATAGTTAAAAAAAATTCCATTTTACTTTTTAAAATTTACAACTAGAGTTGATTTCCTTTTTAAATCTTTTTAGCTGTGAAACATAAGTCATATATGTTTAATTTATCATTTAAAAAACGTTTTATTGTTTTTTACATTAACAGTAGTTAAATTCGCAAGCACGTACGGTTTTTATACATGGTTTCTATTAACCGAGATTTCTGATATCCGAGGTACTAGCGGTCCCAATTAGCTCGGATAATCGAGGTCTAACTATATTTGTTTATCCTGCCAAATAGGTAAATAAAGGAATTCTCACTGAAACTAGCCCTTTTTAAGAACTATATAAAGTTTTATACATTCCAGAGATAATTTTGAGAAATTTTTAAAAATGCAATTTTACATATTTCCTACCAATCTAATCAAATAATACTTTTGTAATACAGAATGCATAGAGCAGTGTTTTCCAAACATATGACTTTCGTGTACCCTTTCTAAATTCTTCGTAACACTCTGTACCACTAATACAAAATGAATGCATTTTTTACTGTAAAAAAATTGCCCAAAAGTTAAAAATCACAATTGGCTGTTGATACCCCTAACTATTAACTGTTAACTCTTCAAAAATGGCCAATAAAAAAATACGTAATCGTAAATTTTCAAGGCTAGCTTTGTTTTAAAATAAAATTTTGTGAAATTTTTGTTTGTTGCAAGATATTTCGCATAAGAACACGTACCCCCGCTAAACTGCTCCCGTACCCCTGGCAGTATGCGTACCACACTTTGGGAAACACGGGCATAGAGGATATATATAAGTACTTTTGAAACAGAAAAATTATGAAAATATTTCTTATACATTTTTAGAAATGCCTACCTTAAAATGAATGAGTGACAATTCTGTTTTGCCATCTTCTGCTTGCTGTACTTGATCAGTTTTGGTGTGCCCTGGTCCAACCCACTAAAAAAAAATAGATTCAGCTTTAAATTTCAATGAAACATTTAATTTTAAAAGAATTTATTTTATACAAACTTAATTACATACAAAATGCATGCTACATTTTATTGTGATTATACAGTAACAATTATACAGAAATGGAAATAGATGGTAGTGATTACTCAAAAGAATGGTAAATCACTAGTTAATTCTTTTTTCAATTCTTCTATCACTTTAAAAATTCTGCATTTAAAGAATGATTGGTTTAGAGGCAATTTAGGAATCCAATCATTTTTTAAATATTCGTTGTAAGAACTCAGATAAGATAGGACAAGAGTTATTGATAAAACAAGTGTTGATTATTCCGAGCAATGTCTAGAGAATTTGACAGGTGTTATTAATTGGATGTCCTATTTGAACATTTCCAAGTAATTTTTGACACTGCACTTTGCTTAATCAATATCTCTTTATGATTAGTGTTACAACCAACATATCTGTTTTTAAACCTTTTTGGGAGTTTTGAACCATAATAAAATTGAATAATCACATAAGTTTCTGAATTTTTTTTTTGCATAAAAAATGTGTCTCAGTTTGATAATGCCTCGAATTTTTGGCTCCGTGCCACCTGAAATGAAACGAAGAAACAATTTTGGAGGCTGAAGGGCAAAGTGAGCAGGAGATATAGCTTCAAAATATTAATTATATTTCGTGATTAGCATTCTTGTCACTTATAATTATTTACTTTTGTTACATTAAAAGAAAACCAATAATAATTTATAATTATTATAAATGGTATCAGCGATTCCACAAGCATGCCAAAAACCGCAAGGGATAACAGAAAACATTTCCAAGTGTCCTTCCCTCGATGCATAATTCGTCATCACGAGAAAATAAAATAGTAATAATAAATAGCACAACACATTTACCTAGTCAAAATTAAGCTACAATTGTTACAAAAATTGTTTTTCTTTTCTATAAATAGAAGGAGAAAAGGACAATTTTTAGTAAAATTGATGCAGAAACTTTGGTTTTAATTCTCTGTTTAATTATTATTACTAAATCAATTACCATTTGCATTCTTTTTCTTAATCTATTTATTTTCTACGTATAACTTTAAAGGTAGATTCATCACATTTTAAATAAGAACACACTTTCAGTAAAAATGGGAACCAAGAAATTCCTGAGTTCTAGTCCTGAAGACTCATAATTTCAGGGATGAGATCAGCCGAAAGGCAAAAAAGCTGAATTTCCACAATAGCAAATTTTACGCAAGCGCAACCCTTTAATAATAAATTCCAGACAGTTTAAGGTAATAAATAATGTGTTGACATACAATTGTGTACTAATCTATTATTATATAAATGATTACATTGATACTTAACATTTAGTGAAAATAAAAATTACCAATTGAAAAAATAAAGCATAGAAATACAGAATATCCCTTAGTTTAAAAAAAAAAAAGAAAGAAAGATCGGATTATGTACCTGAAAAAAAGTAAAAGGGGACCAGTGAAACCCGCCTCCCAGATGACTAGTTGTAANATAAAAAAAGTGAAATTTTTAGAAAATCTGAATTTTTGATAAAAAAGCTGAAATTCAAGAGATAAAAGTGAAAAAAGCGGAAAAATCTCATCCCTGTAATTTCCAAAGTCTAGCAGAATCACTACAGTATTATTAAAAATTTTAAATCACAACCAAATTTCTTTTTAAGTCACATGTAATAATGAGCATTAAACCCACAGTCTAAAATAAACATGCAAAAAAACATAAAAAAAGAAATAGAAAATAAATAAGAATAAAGAAGGAAAATAATTTTAAATTGTTGATATTGTTAAAAAAATTTAAAAAAAAGAAAAAGTGTAAGGTTCTCTCACTTGTTGATTTCCATGTTTTGAAACATCCATTAAAGCAAATGAACAAACATCACCAACTCCTGCAACATCCACAGTAAAGCATCTAAAAAAATCCACTATCTCTAAAGTGCGAGGACGCAACTGAACTAATAAGATGTAAGCAGTGGCAAGGGGCCCAACTAAATCTTCTAGCACAAAAGTCTAAAATAAAAAATATTTCAGATTCAATATAATGTAATTCAGAGCATAAAATATTTTATAAACACAACAATAAATGGTAGAAGCTATGTACGTGTAAATTCATTTGGTCTAATTGCTGTGAGCAATTATACCAACAAAAAAAAATTAAAATAATAAGAAAAGGAAAATTTTGAAAAATTAATGGAAGTCGATTTTGTAGCTTGATCTAAATTGATCCTTGACATACAGCTTTTTCTTTAATGGTCATATTATTTTATTTATAACACTACAAGAGTCATAGAGTCTAAAATTTTTAAAAATTAAAATAAATACATTTTTTTAAAAATTACTAAAATAACCGAAAAAGTAATTAAAAACATTTTTTTAACTTTACAAACAACTAAAGTTAAAATATGTCGTAAAACTGGAACGTATTTATTATTATTTTTTTTAAAAAATTTCTCTTCAATTACTCTACTTTTACTTTACAATTTACTTTCTTTACTGAAAATCTATAATAACTAAACTTGAGATCGTCTAAGTCATACAATATAACACGAATTGTCCTTAAAAACTATAATTCATATTTAAAACACATTCCATCTGACTCAAGGGCCATAGCAAACTGTATTATGGTATCAAATATATTATGGATCTTTGATCATACAAAAGCTCTTTATAAAGCAAAAATAGACTTTTCAAAAGGATTCTGTCTCAGCACAAAGAAAATTAAGTACTCAAGAATGATTCAAGATATTTTCCTCACATTTTTTTTATCAATAACAATTATTCTTCACACTTGAATATTAAGGATTTTTCCGTTTGGCCTATATTATATTAGAGACAAGGGTTTGTATTAAAGCTTATATAACTTTGATATCGTAAAAAAATTCCTTATGCAAGTAAAAATTAAGGCAGTATAGGAGTTAGGGGCCAGAGCAAAAAATTTATGACACATTTACTGTTTTGCATTAAAGTCAAAGGTAGAAAATTTGCAAATGCACACCAGTAGTCATTTTTCAGGCCGCACAAGGTGGCCATCCGCCCGATCACTGTTAGTCTCCCAGTGCAAGAAAAGTGCAACTTAAATGTGAGATGAGAATAAATGGATCGTGAGAAAATGGTTATATTCCTCTAAACCATAAAAATGTTTCAACTCACTATATGGTATTGGAAGAGATGACTAAATTCATCTCTCACATTAGATGTGTGGGCAAGTGTTTTAAAATGATCAGGGACATAGTGGATGTCAGCAACCATTCTCTGCATCAAGTGTTGGGGATAAAATACAGCATTCTGAAAAACAAAAGGAAATATATCACTGTTCATAATTTTTTTTAAAGTTATGTTCTAAATGACTACAAACATTCAGGAAAAAATTTCACAGAATTTTTCAGATTTTATTACTTTTTCCTGATTTTTGTAACGTGGTGGCATGATTTTATTATTGATTTTTCAATTCTGATTTATTCATGTAAAAATATTTCATAAAATATTTTTAACTGCTATAAAAATTTAAATGCTATAAAATTTAAAAAATATTGTTACAATAATAAACTAACCAAATATATTACGTGAAAAAATTTAGGATGACCCACACGTTTTATTTTATGCTGCAGCTATATATGATAGATTAAAGATAGTAACTTTTAGATATCAAGGAAAACATTTAAAGGCAGTTAGCACAAATGTCAAAAATAAAATTTTTTTTTCAACATCAAACACAAAAATTTTTGATTTTGACCTTACAATATTTTTTTAATAAATGTTAAATGTTTTTTCCCCAATTTTTTTTATTTCTAAATTGGCAACATCTTTAAATAGTTTTATAAATATAAGTGAGAAAATCAAGATACTCCTTTGGGTAGCAACTACAAAAGTTAGTGTGCAAAGTTTAAAAGCAGATGTTTAAGATACTGCGACAACAGTTTTGAGCAAATTTTACAAAATCGCCGAACTTAGTTGTTTAAAAATCTTAAAATAAAACTAACCTCATCAGGTATTAGAGCAGACAAAGCACAGAAAGCCAAGGATGCTACTGTAATAATCAGAAGTGTAGACTCAATTTGGAAAAGAGGTTCTTTAAAGATGCCCCAGGCTAGAAAAAAGACAGCGACAAATCCAAATCCTGAGCGTAAGAAACTGAAAAGATGAAGAAATATGATTACCATAAAAGTGAAAGATTATTTTAGGAATTTCATAATAATTAGACTATACAATTATTAAAGAAATGGAAGATTTTGAAAACTTACTTAGCAATAATAGCTACTAATGGATTTGAGAAAGACTTCATATATTCTTTAGCAGGCTTATATGCTCTACCCAATCTAAAGAAAAGAATTTAATCATTAACTATAATGCAATTTATTATTTAAAATACATACTTGCCAACATTGGAGAAATAAAATACAAGGGATTTCAGTAGGGACATTTTCCCCCAATAGTTTGGTTAGGAAAGCAGTTGAAAGTTTAGACATTCTAATGTTAATTTTACTTACTGCATATCTTGCCATATCTTAAGAGCTTTTCAAGAAAATCGAAAACTTTTTGCACACAATTATAAAATTATACAAATGATATTAAAGAAAGATAAAAAAATGAAAAAAAAAATGTTTCTTCTGATATTTTATTTTTTGGTCATTTTGTGACAACACTTACTGAAACTTAAAACCACAGTTATACTTAAATTTCAGATGGTGTACAAAACAGTCGATACTTGCTAAACAAATAAGGTAGGTATTAGTTTAAAAATTGAACAGTATCAAAGAGCAGAGAAAATTCAAGTTACAGGCAATAAACTAAGAGGTTGATAAAAAAATTTCTTTGTCATAAAAATAGAAAAAACATTAATTTCTATTTATTTTATTATTACATCAAATTATTTTGAGTATTAAGATCAACTTATAATTTTCTTTAAATCTAGAAAATGATAATGAACCCTGATAATATGATTATAAAAATAGTTAATATTTTCATGTTTAAAAACATTGATAAAAAGTATTGAAGTTTAAAAAATGCACTAAATCAAGTATTCAATTCTTGACCATTAACAACAATTTATGCATTAACTTAATGAAAACCCAAAACTTATTTTTAAGAACTTTAGAAAACACAAGATGATGATTGTAATTTACATTTTTATGATAACTACTTTTAAAACATAACAATAATGACAGAATCATAAAAAAATACAGTACCTGGCATTCAACTCATGATCCAATTCGTTAAAATGTCTTAAGTAAACTCTTGCATAGGGTGACCATTTTCTTGTACCAAATACGCTGGGCTCATATCGCAAAGATCCAGAATACGTATAGATGTATGAAATGATTCGCCACACAATAATAAATGGAGATAAAGTCAAATTTAGAAACCCTAGAATCAACATATTTCTACCTAATCTAAAGACAAAATAAAAAGAATATTACATTAAATAAGTATTTTAAGATATCAACAAAATTTAGATGTTTTCTAGAATTGTATAACGGCTTAATTTTTGAATTATTTCTTTTTTAATAAAATGGTAATGAGTTTTTACAAGAGAGTGTGAGACATATTCGTTGGCCGCTGGCTATGACCGAACCAGGGACAAATAGGTCCACAGTTAGATGTTCTAAACAGTATGTAAAGTGGTCTACAAGTCAAATCAGGGTGAGCTGGGAAGCAATATATAGCTAAAACTAATCCCTTCGGAGAAGTAAATGAGAGACTGCTGTTAAGAAATGTAACAGTAAAAAGTAGCTTAAGTTAAAAATCTCCCCACTAGAGGGCTAATGGTCTGTTCTGTAATGTAAACAAGTCAATGAGTCTACCATTGAACTGCTTAACTGAACCATAAGGTATTGCCTTGAATTTAAATGTTTAACGTTTAACTGACTGAAGGGATCCAGCCTTATAATATGGAACTTATAAACAAAGTTTTGTTTATGATGTCCTTCCTTTTCATTTAGCTGCATTCCAGCACAGTTCTGGCTAAGACTTTCATTGAAATATAGGAGGTTCATTTAGTCACCTCTAAGTGATAAAAAGAGGCAAAGTAGTGTAAACTTACCCATACCAAATTATCATGGAAAAGGTTTATACGCCACTTTAAGATTGAGTCAGAAAGCTTTATATAGATTAAGATGTCGCTCAATATATATAAGTTCTTTTTCAAAACTAGAAAGTTGTCAGTAATATTTATCTATGCTACAATTTTATGTAAATACTTTATTTCATAAATAGATAACTAATTTTAGTTGTTTATGAGGTGTATTTATGCCTTTTTTTATGAAAAAAGTACTTTGGGCCTATTTGATAATCTTATAAAATACACTAGCAAGCTCTTATAGCATTTAAAATTTCTTATCTTTTTGAAGATTAGATTTTAATTTATAGACCAAATAAAATTAACTTAGAAAAATTAATTTAAACTTACTGATGAGCTACTTCTTTTCTTTTAGAGTATTTCTTATATTCTTCTTTCAGGGTTCCCGTTCCTTTGAACGGTGAAAGTAAGCTGCCTATAAACCACAAAAAATTGTGTTACATTTGAGGAATTTTAAGACCATAGCAATTAATATATTATGAATAACTCCAATTAGATTAAAACACTAGCTACAGTTAGGGAACAAAGCACAAATTTAACAAGATAAAATATTAAAAAGATAAAGGCAGAAATATGGTTAAAATATAGGCAGATAAGAGAATGGAAATAAAACACAGTTGACTTTAACTTTGTGCAATAAGAATTCAAAATTAATAATTATGCAATAAAATCACTGAGGAACCGGGACTTTTTCATTATTTGGAAGGTTATCTAAGATTAAGGCAAAAAGAAGTTAATTTTTCTCAGTAGATAATTAATTAATTTATAATTTCATTTTCTATATTAATTTCCTCCAAGATACAGATTATAAAAATAATAAAAACATTGATCAGAGACTTCTATGTGAAAAAAAGAGAAAAAAACCAGACTTTATGCTAACTTTCTTCATTGTTTGACTGCTACAGAAAAAAAAAAGAAATCTTGGAATGATCATAAATAAATGATGTATAACACTGAAAAAAATTGAGAGAGGGGGGGCTTTATTTTTCAGAAAATATTTAGATAGACCTTTTTTATGGACGGGAAAACGTATTGTGTACAGCAGTATGAAGAACTTCATTAAAACGCTATAGATTCTTCAATCAAGGGGGGGGGGGATATCTTGCAAAAATCTCAAATTAAAAAACTCTACATAATACGACAAAATTGCTTGTGTAAAAAAAATGAAGAATTATTTTCTTTTTGTAACATTTCATCACAAATACCAAACCTCTAAATATTCAAGATTTAAAAATTTGATTTAAAGCAAAATGCCATATATTTTATGACAACATTATATAAAACCTTTATCCAGTAAATAATATTTTCAATAGAATATATGAACTAAAGTATTGCCTTTTAAAGTCATTAAAAAAATAAAACATAATCATTTATAAACAAAAAATCATATAAATAATAATAATAGAATGTAAGTGCACATAAAATAATGTGATATGCTTAGATACCCCATAACAAAGGATAAAGAAATGTTAAAAGAAAAATAAAAGGCATACATGTTTGACACAATATTCAGTTTCAATTTCTAAAAGAAAATTTCAGTGTTACAGACACTGATCGGAGAGAATGTGGTGCTTTAAACACAATTGCTAAAATATTAGAATGGCCAAATTTGTGAATAAGTAATGTTGCTTAGCATTACTAATGAAATTTATCTATTACTATATCAAGAAATTCATAACACATAATAAGCTTAGAATGCTAAATTTCAGTTACTAGATATATTTAAAGATTGAAACTTTATATGAACAACAAGTCATCTTTGGTTTGGTGATGTAGTAAAGTTAACTGTTAACCGAGTTTACAGCCAAAACATATATATTTGCCTAAACTTAGCTCAATATCTAAACAAATACTGGTTTTGAAGTGTGCCTTTCCCTCTCCCAGCAGGGCTTGTTGCGTAACAGAACCAGTTGAATCTCTTTCTTGGTTTCAAATTAAAACACAAATTCCGTATTCGGCCTGCAGCAATCACAGTGCTGACATAAAATATGCTCAGTGGAAGACGGATTGTGGATTAGAGTCCTCTTGCTGTCAGGCCAACCAAGGGAGGTTTTTTTCTCCATATAACGCAAATGCTAGTTAGTTCTATCAAAAAGTCCTCCACAAAGGCAAATTTCTCCTAATACGTAATCCAAAAGTTCTCTTGTCTTCTGGATAAAGTTCAAAATTACAAGGCTACAAAGTTGAACATTAGCAGTCGCAAACCCAAAAAATTGGGCCGACGGTTATAAAATAAAATAATAAGATAAAAGACTCTACCCAATTCTGGTCATTTATTCTTCTAAGCATGCATGCCAGATTTTTATACATTCTGTTTGGTATCTCATGTGTTAAGGGGTTTTAAGCCTCCTACATTATTTTATATGCACTCTTGTCAAAAAAATTTTTAAATTAAACTTTTAATAATCATGTACAGAATTAGAGATTTTGGAAATTAACCTACCAAAAAACAGTAATTCAAGGTTGTATTCCAATGTAGGGGAAAAATACACCCTAAAAAATATTGAAACAAGCAAATGAAATTTTTTTTTATCAATTTAAGTTCTTATAATATTCAATAAGAGGCACATTTTAAAATAAAACAGCCAAAGGAACACAATTTAATCAGGAAAGAGAGAAATTATATAAAAGTAAAATTTAAAAGACTGTCACTCCAATAATCTAAAGAACTAAGCGTTTGTATCACATTGAGAAGCAGGGAAGAAATCAAGTAATAGAGAGATAAGAAATATAAAATTAATAAATACAAACAATTAGAGTTTTCAGTTTTATTGTATCTTTAACATTACTAACCAGGAAACATTCAATGAAATATGAAAAAGAATATTATACATGATCTAATGCAAGTATAACGAGAAGGCATTAAACAATCTTAGACATTAATAAAAGCAAACAAAATTAGATTTTCTAATGTTAATATTCAACAGACAGTTAACATTTTTAATTAGCATGATTTAGATAATATCTTCAGAGACATAAATATCTTCAAAGATCATTTCAGAAGACAACTACTAAATACTGTAATTAGAAGCTACTTGTAAAAGTTTTCATAAAAATAAAATACAAACTATAAGTAATAAATTACAAATAACATAAACTAGAATTTTTTTAATTTCATTAAAATATAGACTAAATTAAATGCATAGGACATTGTCAATAGTTTCAAACAGAAAGTGGTGGCAGAACTAAATAAAAATGCACATATCACTACATTTAAGTATGATGCAAACAAGTGGAGGGAGAAGTTATGCAGCAAAATATGCTATTATACCTTAAGCAATTTTTGTAATTATTATGATCTGCACACATTTTAAAATATAAATTTATCACAGACGGCAAAACAAAGAGTACTGCCCTCTCTGTTCATCTACACCTAGACATTTATTTATGAAATTTTATTGTCTTGCTATATTTAGAGCCAAATATATAGTTAAACAATTTTAAATATTGCTTGTCAATGTTAGCTTAATTATATTAATATTGTATTAAAAAAAATTTTAACAATGAAGGCACATTATAATAAATATTTTAAACAGTTGATAATAAAGACACAAATTAAAACAAAGTATAAGGAAAATGAAATGATTGTCTCACCATTCACCAACATAAGGCAGTTTCAAATTCAAAGGCAGGATGTTTTTATTTACTAAAGCAACCATATAGTTTTTGTTTCTTAGTACTCTGTGATAAATATCTAGAAAATAAATAAATATGTTAATAAACTAATAACATATAAATTTCATAAACATAACATATTTCCATATAATTACTTAATTAAGATATTTTGGCATCAAAACCTCCTCACTATACATATTATACACCTTATTTAATATTTATGTGTCCAACGGAATTATAGCGTCTCTATCTCCACTATCCAAAGGAGTTTTGAATAGAGGAATGATGTTTTATTTGTAAAACATAAATTTTAGTTCAAGTATTGTATGGTGCCTTTTTATCAAAGATGAACATGCACAATGCAATGTTTAAATGAAACAAGTTATGCTGTTTATTATTAATTTGATGTTAATATTACTTCTCTGTTATTTTAACTATCGCTAATTTGTCATTTTAATTATTGAAAGTAAGAACTTTTCAATCTCCACTATTCAAAGGAATTTCAAATAGAAAAATGTTTTTTTATTTGAATAATAAAAACTATTTCAGTACAAATATTGCATGGAATCCTTATCAAAGATGAACATACATAATTGTATGTTTAATAGAAATAAGACATGCAATGCTGTTCATTATTAATTTGGCATGAAAATCATGACCAAAATTGACTTTATAACACCACTTTATAAAAATATATCAAGTTACTACAGGTCATAATGTCCTTTCTCCTCTGCACAGCAATGGTCATCATATTTAGCATCAACAGTATAGTTATTACTTTGTATCACTGCTGTCAAAAATTCATTCAAACATAATTTGACTAATTAAACAATAACCCTTTAAGCATAATCTAGATGTTTAAGCTGCATAAAACAATTACAAACTATTATGTATTTTAAGTAATTAATTTTTAATTAAAAATTAAAAAAATAAATCATTGATAAAAACTCTACAGAAATGTACTAAATATAATTCTCATTATTTAACAAATACTATTAAAAACAGGAAAAAAATTATAAGTACAAATTACACACCTAATTCTGTCAGATCTGATTTGTGTACACACATTTGCTGCTCATGCTGCACTTCTCTAAGCCTGCACTGTACTTCATGCCATGTGACATTATTGATTTCATTCTAGTAAAAATAGATGCTTATAATTAAACCAAATACTTTTCAACTTCCGATTAATTCTCATTAATAATGATACGAAAAATTTCTGGAATAATTCTTTTTTCCAACTACTACTAAAAAGGTAACTGGCTTCAGAGTAGTTTAAAACAAAAATCAGGACAATACTTTACAAAAAAAAAATCAGGATATTTTTTGGTACAATAAAACACACTAAACTATTTTTAAGATGGTGAAACAAAGAGCTAAGAAAATACTGTTATCCATTGCTTTAAAAACTTTGAGTTGTGCAAAATATTTCTTTAACAGTTCATAATCTTAAAAACTACAGGAAAAATGTGGACAACCACTAAATGTTTTCATAATATGCAAAAAATGGTGCAAATTTGGGAATGAGAATATATAATTAATAATCTTGGAACCTGAGTTTCCCTGCCTTCAAAAATAGATACCTCAACATAAAAATCAAAATAAGTTTAAAAGGAAATCGAAAATTATAGATATTTTTGTGCAACAATAAATTACTTAAAAACTAAATCATATATAATACGTACTGAAGAAAAAATGTAAACAAAAATAAACAAATAATAAAAAATATAATGAATCATTATCTAAAAAGATCACCAAAACAAAAATAAAATTAAAAAAAACTATGGAACTAAACCATTGGACAATTAAAAGGACTTTTGATTTTACAATAAATAAAATCAGAAGTATAAGAAATAAAAAATAATGTCTTAACTGTAGTTTTATGAAAAAGAGAAACTATTTTGAGCTAAAAAGTTTTAATATTCTGACATATTTAAAAAAAATTTGACAGAAAAAATGTTTTTTTTTTTATTTATTATTTTTTTTAATAAAATGACCAAAACTTGAAATCAAAATTGACCACTTGAACAATTGAGTTTTGCAATTTTTTTTTTAGTATTATTGTATAAAATAAATGTTATACTAAAAGTCAATATCTTTCAATCCATAAAATTTAATAATTTAAAACCCACACTGGTATTTGTAGAAATCGGGATGTTATGTACAAAGTTAACATAAAAATCAGGAACATCAGAATAAAAAACTAAAGAGAACAAAATATTTTGTATAAGGAAAATCAGAAATATTAGGCCAATCCTGTGGGTAAAATTTCTACACATAAGGTTATAAATGTAATTAAAATGTATGGAGAATAAATAAAAAGTATATTATCAAATAGTATAATATAAGTATGTACCTTAGATATTTTCAAAGCGCTTTCATAAAATTGTTCAATTTCTTTAAATGAGTAAATTGCTCTGGTAGCTTTATAACACTTCCCAGCAATGAAGAGCATGAAAATCACAAATAGCAGCCAGTAACCAAAGCTGAAGCTAGAAAATAAAAGGATTCATTACAATAGGCAACAAATTAAATGTATCAGTCAGGGTCAGGGTTTTACTAGGAAGAACCTGAAAAATACCAGGTAGAAACAGGATAAAAAGAAAGAAACTAAAAGTGACCAAAACAATTAGATAACATAACAATATTGTTAGAGTTAACAAACTGAATTTAAAATATAGTACTCAAAAGTTAAAAGTTTTTTAATATATTTTTTTAAATAAAAAAAATATTTTCTCATACTTATTTTAGTTTTATACAGAGTTTTAAAATACATGCATCAAATCATTCAAGTGTTGCGTTAAACATTTATATTTAACAGCATTTTATTATGATATTTTAACAGTTCTTTATACAATTATAAAGTTAGATTTTTCTAGTTAAATCCTGTAAGTTAAATATTGAAAGAAACTAGTTGTTTTAATTACTTTCTCCTTCCCTTTTAATTGTTGCTTTTAGATATTTCACTTATTTATAAATGTTGTGTTAAAAATACTATTGGCTTGGAATAAATACTATTATTTAAATCAATAAATGTTTAACTATGCTCACAAATAAAACATTTACAAAAATGTTTCAAGATTTGATACTTCTTTTTGAAAAAGAGTTTCTTTTATTCTTTCCACTTGGGTTTGAAGAAATTTATTTATTTCAGGGCAGTTAGCTCCACTTTTTTTTTTTCCGACGGTGGAAGAAATTTGCCTTATTTGCTATTTATAAAAATAAATTTTTAAAATTTTTTTAAAAGATAAAAATAATAATTACCTAGCAGCACATTCTGAGAGAGGGATAAATAGATCAGAAAGCTGAATATCTGTGCGATTTACAAGAGGAGATGGTGGCTCATCAAAAACAAAATTAACACAATGTGATAAATAAAAAATACCACAGAGTAACAAAAAGGCAAATCTAAAAAAATAATAATATTTTTTTAAATATATTACACACACAATTTCATACAAATAAAAATAGTGCACAATGCTCTCAACTATCTAGATTGCTTTGAGAAAAAGGAAAGTAGGTGCAAATATGGTACAGTTAGTTCAACCTCAATTATCCTGGAACTTCGATAACACAAATTTCTTGATATCGTAAAAAAAATCGTAATTCTTCACCCATTTGCTAATAGTAGCAAAAATACCTCTTACTACCAAATACATTTCTTTTGATCCTTGAAACAAATAATAACCATTTTTCTTTCCTAATTTTTAAAGAATATTTTAAAAAAACTTTTTCCAATTCTTATAAACTTATCTAAAACAATTTATAAATCATTTCTTGAAATCCTAATCAGAAAGAGATTTAACATGGCTGATATAAATGTATTCTCATAGAAATATTTTAATGGTACAGTACTGTTTATTAATACTGTAAATATGCAGAACAAAACCACAATAAAAAGAAAGAACTCCTCCTTCCCTCCCCAACTCCAGTAGTATTTGTGAAGAGAGGAAAGTACAAACCCATATCAAGTACATCTGTTGCCGTGCCCGTAGATGTTTTTCCTTTATACAAAGAAACCACACTAAACCTTGGTAGATTGGTTTACATTATGTCTGTGGAATCAAGCCTTCTTCCCCTGTGTATATTCTTTTGGCCAATTGCTGCATTTTTACACTATTTAATAACAGTACTGTACTATTCAATAAGATATTTCTTTGAGAGTTCAACAATAATTTCATAGTTGATTATATTTGCCAACACAATGTGAGATACAATTAAAAAATAAACTGGTGATGGGCAGGAGGTATCGTATACAACCAACAACCGGTTCAGGTGACTAGATCCAGACCATCCATTAACTTATTACGCACTGAAGTGTGGTGCATACCATGCTCTGCTAAAGCTTAGTATGTTATTTTCAGATATAGCACAAAGTATCCCACTTTAGTTTAGAATTTAGAGAGTTGGGCTTTTCTTTTTTTGGTACAACTGCCACTGAGTGGTAGTCGTGTCTTCAAAAACCAGAGTTTTGAGATAATTCTACAAATCCTTTAAAATAAAAATTTTCACATATTGAATACTCACAGAATACCAATACATTCTTCAGCCACTATGCAAGAGAAACCATGTTTTTGGTGAAACTTATAAATGTATCTCAATTAAGAAAAATAATAAATATTTGATCTACCACGAATACATAATAAAATCTAGTGTCATTTTATAAGTTAAAAACTATTTCAATTCTACATCAGAATATACTAGACATCTCATACTATAAAAAATATTATATGAGCTTTTTTAAAGGTATTATAGCAACAAAAAAAAAAAAAANAAAAAAAAAAAAAAAAAAAAAAAAAAAAAAAAAAAAAAAAAACAGACTTGTCAAAAAATCTTAATAGTTTCTTGATAATAAGTAAATATTCTAATATAAAATAAAACAGCTAAATTGCTAAGACTGTAAACTATAATATTAAAAAAAAAAACATTTTAAACTTTAACATAACTTCTTTCAATTAAATGTTGGTTCAGTACAGTATGGTCAAAATTGGAAAAAATTTCTGGTAGCTTTATCTCTAGCAGGTAAAAAGCTCTTAGGCAAAATTAAAGATATCTAATAAAAACAATTTATTTATTGGTGATCAGATATTTTAAGCTTTCATAATTACAAAATTAAGCAAAACACTTTTAGGCATAGAATCTTTATTAATCTTAACTTAAGAGCACAATTAATCCTATTCTGGTTCCCTGTTGCATAAAGCAATCAGCCATTTTAAAAATTATGAAGGAAAAAAAATAGTTATACAAATACAGAAAAAAATTGAATGATGTAAAAAAATTTTTTACATAATTTTATTAAACAAGAATAAAAAAAACTTATTTAATTCCAAACACAAAAGGATATTTTTCGAAAGAATGAATCCAAATCATCAATATGGTTCCACCGGGCTGCAAATAAGGAAAGAAAATTAGTTCAAAACTTTTTTAAAAGCTCAATTTAGGTAATTTTTAGTACATTATTATTTCTTAAGAGGTAAAATTAGGTAAAACTAGAGTAAATAAAAAGCTTTAAATGCTAATTTTTTTTAAACATCAAAATACAAACAAATTATAGCAGGAATACTTCCCCCTCTGTGTAATCCTGTCATAATTTGTTTGCATTTTGATATTTTTTCCTCCTCATTTAAAACTTCACATTTTGCTCTAGGTTTTAAAACTTACTTTTTCATACTTTAAATTTTTCATAACTTATTAACTTACAAAAGCTTTAATAAATTCACTCATAATGAATCATTTTATTTTTTTGTTTATACGCTATCAAATACTTTGCTTTTGTATATATGCAAACAAATTATAGCAGGAATACTTCCCCCTCTGTGTAATCCTGTCATAATTTGTTTGCATTTAGATAATTTGAAATTTTTTCCTCATCANAGTTGCTACAAAATGCCGTTTTATTAATGTATATAAAACAAAACTAAAAAATAATTTTGAAATAGTTTTAGAAATAATAAAAAATGATAAATAATATTACACTTAAGTTTAAATAAGGAAAGAAATTATGAAATAAAAATTATATACAGGCTTATATATGTTATTATTAACATTAATAACATATATAAGCTATTTGTGCTTATGTGAGATTCGTCTACAAACGGCTTTTGATCCGTCCTCTAAATCAGTTCTTTCGTCAACTCGATACGCCATACGCTCTAAATAACAAAATGGGCTCAAAATCTTGCAAGAAAAAAAAAATTTTTATGGAAGAAAATTAATTTCCGGTTCCGAATTTCATTCCGGTTATCTGGTTTTCGAATTCCGGATAAGAGGTTCTGCACTGTACTAGACATCTCATACTATAAAAAATATATGAGCTTTTTTGAAGGTATAATAAATAAAAAAAATACACCCTTGTCAAAAACTCTTAATAGTTTTTTTGATAATAAATGTAAGTAAATATTCCAATATAAAATAAAAATGCTAAATTGCAAAGACTGTAATACTTAAAAAAAATTTTAAACTTTCATATAACTTTTTTCAGTTAAATGTTGGTTCAGTACAGTATGGTCAAGGCAAAATTAGAGATATCTAATAAAAACAATTTATTTATTAGTGATCAGATATTTTAAGCATTCATAATTACAAATTTAAGCAAAACATTTTTAGGCATAGAATCTTTATTATTCCTAACTTAAGAGCTCAATTAATCCTAATCTGGTTCTAATACCCTGTTGCATAAAGCAACCAGCCATTTTTAAATTATGAAAGAAAAAAATAGCAATACAAATACTAAAATATAATGGTTTACAAAAGTTTTGTACATAATTTCATTAAACATAAATAAAAACTTATTTAATTCCAAATATAAAAGGATATTTTTCGAAAGAATGAATCCAAATCATCAATATGGTTCCACCGGGCTGCAAATAAGGAAAACAAATTAGTAAATTTAAAAAAAAAAAACTTAATTTAGGCAATTTTTATTTCATTACTATTTCTTAAGAGGACGCTACACCAAGAGGGAAACTTTTCAATAACAAATTCGGTTTCTACTCCACTGATAATTTAAAATTTAAAGAGAAATAAATTTAGGTAAAACTAGAGTAAATAAAAAAGTTTAAAATGCTGATTTTTTTTAAAATATCAAAATAAAAACAAATTATAGCAGGAATATTTCCCTCTCTGTGTAATCCTGTCACAATTTGTTTGCACACTGATATTTTATTATTTTTCCCTCCTCATTTTAAACTTCACGGTTTGCTTTAGGTTTAATAAAACTCACTTTTTCATACTTTAAATTTTTAATAACTTGTGTAACTCACAAAAGTTTTAATAAATTCACTCATAATGAATCATTTAACTTTTTTGTTTATATGCTATCAAATACTTTGCTTTTGTATATAAATGCATACAAATACTTTGTATATATATGATCTGTATAATCCTGTCATAATTTGTTTGCATTTTGATATTTTGAAATTTTTTCCTTGTCATTTAAAACTTCACGGTTTGCTCTAGGTTTTAAAACTTACTTTTTCATACTTTAAATTTTTCATAACTTATGTAATTCACAAAAGTTTTAATAAATTCACTCATAATGAATCATTTAACTTTTTTGTTTATATGCTATCAAATACTTTGCTTTTGTATATGTATGCAAACAAATTATAGCAGGAATACTTCCCCCTCTGTATAATCCTGTCATAATTTGTTTGCATTTTGATATTTTGAAATTTTTTCCTTGTCATTTAAAACTTCACGGTTTGCTCCAGGTTTTAAAACTCACTTTTTCATACTTTAAATTTTTCATAACTTATGTAACTCACAAAAGTTTTTAATAAATTCACTCATAATGAATCATTTAACTTCTTAGTTTATATGCTATGAGCAATTTTTTCTAAATAAAAAAGGCCTTAAGGTAGTTTCCCACAAAGTGCAAGTAGGATTCATTTCCTATACATAGACATTAATTTTTATATCTTAAAACGCACAACTGGAAAATTAATGGCAATTTTCAGCAAATAAAATTGAGACATGCAGTAGACATATCAGATTAAGTTATTATTAACATATTATGGTCAAATTAGAATATTCAACTTACATTTGCTGCCTTCAGATGCAACATGTACAATTACACTCTCAGGTGAAGTTTCAATTTCATCATTTTCCAAAGATTGATAATTGGTTTGAAACGTATTCATATTGACTTTGAATCTGTAAAAGCGAAACTAGATTAAAGATATTTCTACTAACCCTACGAATGAATTGTTAGGAAATATATTTATTAAAAATGCATACCGCAGTAACATATGAGAAGAAAAATAAGAATAACTAAAATTAAATCATTAGAGGAAGTTCTATTAACTATACCAATTAATGTTATGTTACTAATGAATCTCGTAAATTATAATAGGAGTGTACAATGAAAACAAAAGTTTTACTAGCTATACTTATGTTAAATATGTACCCAGCAATAATTCTAATAAGTGTCGAGAAAATTAAAACAATTAAAATTAATTCAAATTAGGGATGAGAGCTGCTGCGTATTGGAGTACAAGAAACAAAGGCGTTTAAATTTTACTTACATTTAATAACTATCTATTTTAATTCGTAACAAAATATTTCATGTGTCATAGATTATACATAATTTCCCTTGAGGAATTGAAACTGTTCGATGTGAAATTTGAACTAATCAAAACATAGGCCTTGATCATTGTTTTGTTTTCATGTTTTGTTTAGATTGGTTCTTCTAATAAATAATAGACTCATTTCCGGCTACTTATTTCTGGATTAAGCACTAAAAAATATTATCTTAGGGTATATTTCTACTACAGCAACTAGGTCGAAGTATTTAAACGAGGTTATAAGCGATATGCTTTCTTTGCTTTCTGAACTTTAACTTCAATTTTCTTGACGTCACCATAAAATACTTGAAAAAAATAGCGGAAAAGCGCGCCTCTTTGCACGTTGTTGTGTTTATCTTTCGATTTGTATACATTTGTTAATTTTGCATTTCGACGTTAAAAGCATTAATTGTTTTTATGTTTATAGCTGTTTAATTATTTAAAAGTTAGGATTATATGTGAAACAAGAATAAATAGCATAATGGATAAAGTAGACCGATGGTATTTTACGCAAGATCGGCTGATAAATTCTCCAAGTCGAAAATTTTGCGTATCGGAGTCCAAAGAATTATTATATCGCCAACAATCAGCACATTTCATTCAAGATTTGGGACAGCAGTTAAAAGTGTATCCTTTTTATTATATAATTAATTTTGTTATCAAATTAATGTGTGTATTCGATTGCATGCAGATGATAATGTTCGTGACTAATAAGACACGTGGTTTACTCGGATGTCGATAACGAAATATTTTCTTGTAAATGGACATTATGATAAGTAATTTTTTATAAATTTGGAATATAATGATTTATAAGGTCTGAACAGAAATGTCATGTTTATAAGTAGCTATTTCTCAATAATTTTCAGCACTTTTTCTTTGCAAACATTTTTAATCGTTATCCATAATATTTTATTTTAAAATTTATCATGCAAATTTATAGATTAAGTTTTTCTAAATATTTTTCTATGTGTATAAACATTGTTAGCTCTTTCTTTTAATGAACATTTTTAATAATTAATCTAAAGGATGCACAATCATTTCCAAGCAGTGGGCTACTTAGAGCTATTTCCGGATCCTGATCTGCCATGCCAACTGCAATCGCTAAGGTGCCAAATAGGTTTTAAATTTGCAATTAATAAAAAAAGAAAACATGTAGATATTTGCCTGGGGGTGACTATGAGTTATGCCTTTCAAGTCCCTTTTTGTGATTTTTTTTGTTTCTCCTGGGTCGCCTAGACTTGGCGATTATTCTGCCACAGATCAGGATGCAGAATCGATGCAAGGTTAACATAATTCTGATATTATAAGAATATAGGAAATATTTTGATTCCGTTTATGTGAGTGAGTCACAAACAGCTTGCTGGAGATGTATAAATGATGAAATTGAGTATGTGATGAAATTAACGTATAAAAAAAATTGTTCCAATTCAAAAGAGTGGAGGTAACCTGTCTAATTGGTTTTTATGATTTAAACATTTAGAAAATAAAAACAAATATCTATCATAATTAGCAATATTAAGAGATAATGTAAGGTCAGAGCAAATTTTTAATTTAGTTTCGCTTGTTAGGGAACTAAACTTAATGTTCGTAATTAGATTATAATAATAAAATAGTTTCTTTGATTTATCTATTATTATTTTTTTGAAAGCAGTTCTTATTAATCAATAGTACAAAGTACATATCTATTGCACATTCCTTAATTGAATCCAGTAATCTATTGTGTATCAATAATGCTATAATCTACATGCATAGGTTCTATATGTTTCACTCTTTCTCAGAGGTCCATTGGAGTGTAAGTACAACTTTACTTTACTTTTTTTGCTCTAGATTTACCTTATAATGAAATCTGTGTTATTTAGTATGGTGTAGTATACTTTCTTGTAAGCAGAAAACTGTGACAATTTTTCTCCCTTATTGTCTTTAGAAGGGTGGCCTGCCCTGCCTTCTCTTTGATCATTATTATCTATGCCCCTTCTGTAAAAATTAGCTGCCATCCCTTTAAGAATTGAAATCAAAGTACTTTCGCCCGCACTACAGCTAATACATGAGTAGGTATACCAAATTTGACCATACCTCAGTTTCGAAAGGACTGTTGTCTACTTGCATCATTTTAATATCTTTCAAATTTCATAGAACTATTTCATAATTAAGTAAAGTTTATGTATAAAATCATATTTTATCTATACAACATATTTTGTATAATCAACTTGTATATGTGTTTTTTGTGTGAAAAGATTTTCTATTTGTACATTTAATAATGTCTAAGACATAGCATATTCGTTTTTCTTAAGCAGTTGCTTTCCAAAGCATGTAGTAGGAGCTAAAAGACAAGTGTGGAATTTCCATTTTATTATTGCTACCCCGAAACCTGCCTTTTCTTGGTGTGTGAATTTTTTATATTTTGAGTTTTACATAATTCAATGAACAGTAAATGGTCTTTATTGGTTTGGAATTTCAAAAGGTTACTGCTCTAAATTTTCAACTTCCAGGCTACCTGTTTCAGAAATTTCAAACAAATATGCTTAAGCAAGAAAAAGATGCAAATTTTTGTATTAAGATAAACTTAATCAAAAGATGAATTAAATTAAAGTTACGTTCCTGTAGAAAACATTTTATTAGTCTGCTAAAGGAAACTCTTTCTCATGATCCTATAACAATAAAAAACTGAGGGTTTTTCTTTTCTTAAAAATGTTTTTCATTTGTTCCTTAGGATAAGTATTGTGATGTTATGAATGCTGTTTCATTGAACAATGCAGCTTAATCCTTCAATAACAAGTTCAGCCATGGAATGCTATTACAATACAAAGCCTCATATCCGGTCACCCATTTGCCCAAAGCGTCTATTTTCCGAACACTTATTGTTATCAAAATAAGAAAAACCTTTTTCTCATAACAGCAGAATGCAAGAATTTTGTGGTGAATTAAATTAAAGTTTTACCCTTTTATTTTTTCAGGCATTGGCCATGGCTGCAATATTTCTTGCAGCTAAAGCTGAAGAGCAGGCTAGAAAAATGGAACATGTGATTAAATGTGCCTGTTATTTATTACAAATTAAAGAATCCTTAGATGTTGCCTCTGAAGTAAGTGTCTTAAATTTAAATTATTTCTCGGCTCTTTATCTTTAGACTACTGTGAAACCTGGCAGGTTAGCCTTTTGCCTAACCCTTACCTAATTTTAATAACCTAAGATAATTAACCTAATTTATCCTATATAATATAATGGACCAAAGCAAAGCCAATAACATCTTTATCTTGTGTGTTAACAGCTACAATAAATCTTATTTGGTCAATACCATTGTAAGAGAGGTGACAACGGACTTTTTTGCCCAACTCTGTGCAGCGGCTACTTTTGGAAGGCACAGAATTTTTTTTCATGGACTTTGTGCTGAAGAAAACCTTTGGGGGGGGGGCATTAAAACTTCTCCCAGCAATCGGGATACCATCTGCACCAAATGCAGAAAATATTTGTGTTAGGCTCTTATTTAGAGAGCTCTTTTTGATGATACAACCTCAAGTTGCAGTCAGGGTGCATAAAGACGATGTTGTCAATAATTTACTTATAGAGTTGAAAGTTAAATTTTAAAAAAAACGAAGTTATTTCAGAAAACCAAGCATCTCAAACTTCTTTTCACCTTTTAAAGCTAATTAATGTTTATGATATTTAGATCACTTTTATGGATGCTAAATTTTATTCATCCCTTATTTTCATGACGTCAACGGAAGTGGCTATTCCGCACCAAGAAAATGAAAGTGACTAAAATTTTACTTGTTCGCAAAAAATTCATGTACCTTTGATAACAATTTTAAAGTTGATGGGGGTAACCTCTAAGAATGATCTATCTCTATCAACGACCATTTATGAGGTTTAACTTAAACTTAATTAATGAATAAACTTAATTAATAAACTTAATTAACTTAAACTTAATTAATTTTAACTTAAACTTAATTAACTAATTTATGAGGTTAACATAAACTTAATGCAATGAAACCTCCCGAGAGGTTTCACTGTATTAAGTTTACCTCACCTTTACAAAATTGGTTATTAATCCTAAAACGAAAAAATTCAGACTATTAATTTGTAACAGTGAGTTAATATTTTTTTTTTTTTTTAAACTTACACATCCTGCTTGAAAGTTTGTTATATTCTATACTATTGTGTAAAGTTGAAAAATGGCAAGTAAATGTACAAATTAGTAGGAATTATTAATTAGAAAATAATTTTAGTTAACAGGTTTGAATAACCAAAGTTATTGTATCATATTATATTACTGCCACACTGTGTTATGTGTTTTTGTTAGTTGCTTTTTTCAAATTTTTGAATGAGATTATGTACACTAAGCTAATTTATTTTATTTCCTTTTCAGTTTTACAAAATTAAAGAACAAGAACTTGTAGCTTGTGAGACTATTTTGATTTCGACATTAGGTAAAAAAAAATAATATTTCAATTATCATTCTCTTTTCCTTTAATGTTAGTGCAAGCAATTTTCATGCATACCACATTAATCTTAATCTGTAATATTCATTAGATTGTGAAGCAGTGAATTCAGAGAATATGAACCTTGATTTGTTATAAAAATCAAAATTATTTAATTTAAATAAGAGATTAGTTTTTAGTTTTTAATTTGTTTGGGGCTTATCTGATTGATTTGTTTTCAGTGTTTTTTGAATTAATTATTGCCTTTTTCGAATGCAGCATACTAAATTTTTTCTTATTGCTTTGCTAATATATTTCACAATTTAATTCTGATTGTGATGAGAATTGTGTTGAAGAATGCATTGCAAAATTCTAATTCTTTACAAATAGATGGGAATAGTAAATCTTAACTTTTTTAAGTCTCAGTTCTTCGTAATTAAAATCATTCTTTAATGTGGTAATGTTGATAGTTGATGTCACATTTGTAATTTTCATTATTCTTGACTATATTTTTTATATCTATAACAAATATGTGTGTAATTTTCTAATATTATAAATTTTCTTTTATTTATTTTTGTTAAAAAATACATCTTAAAAAATGTCTGCTTTCATTAAAAAAAATCTTCAAATTTTATTTTAAATTAGGTGGGCAAGTCTGCAATTGATAACGATACACACCTTGTACCCTCTTTAAGAGTGATCACCTTGCCTGGGAAGGGCCATGCGGGCATATATTAAGGAATTTGATCAGATGATATTAATTTAGTTAAATGTAGTGTTCCCATCTAGTAAGATGGAATCTATCCCTGATTTACCCCTCTAGGCCTCTGCTGTTCTGTTTTTCTTGTTCTATTTTTCATCCTTTTTCCTCGACAAATGTAGTTTTTCTAGTTTTTGTTTCTCATCTTTATTTTTCCATTTCTTCGCCAACTTAATTTTTGTTTGTTTGTTTCAAACCACTTTTGTTTCTTCTCAATCACGTCTGGCAAATGGGCACCTATTTTTGGAGCTGTTCAAGTTTTTAATCGGGTAATATCTTACCTCTTCAGTTTCTTGGGATTATTTATTTAAGATGGAATCTAGTTAGATAAGAATGAAATGGCTATTTAGGAATGTTATGTATATTAGAAATGCAAAGCGATGTGTTTTTGTGGCAGTCTGAATTGATTGGAAGTTGGTTTGGTTCACTAGATGGAATGGATTAGTTTTGTGATCCAGTTAGTGGATTGAAATTGGTTTTGTGGTCTAGTTGTAATTGATATTGTGACCTCTTTGTCTCTGAATAAATCTGGCCATAGGCAACTCAGGAAAGGTGATCACACTGCTGGAGGTTTTACGAAGCATGATCAAAGTAGTATATTATTCTCAGGTAAATTAAATAGTTTTTCTTATTGAAATCTGGTGATGGAATTCTAAATTTTCTCTATGAATTTGTCAGACCATAAAATATGTCTTAATAATATAAATAAAACAATAAAATATAAATAAATACATTTTATCCTATTAAAAAGTATGCAGTGTGTTTGGTAAGTACACAATTTAAACTAAAGTTAACAAACATTTTAAAGTTTTTCAAATCCAAATAATTCTGGATTGTTCTTATTTATAGTGATGTAATGATTATACCATACTATAAATCAATGTTTTAAAGGTTTTCTCAATTTTTTTTGTTATGTCCCTAATGCCTAAAACTTATTCCTTATACTAATTCCTAAAACCCTATTTTTACCAAAGATTAGAGAATTGTCTATAAAAATAATTTTTGCACCAGGAAAACTGTGGATCATATGGGATAACGTAATTTTACCCCAAAACCGGGAATTGTCTGGAAATTTGACACCCTATGGAATTGCAAGATTTCACTCTTCTGTGTTTAACCGTTATTTGTGCATGTGCAGTAGAGGCTTTAAAATTTTTTTTTTTTTAATTTCTGATTTATTTATTTTTTTCCGTGCTGGTCGTCATTAATTGTATCCTTAAGATACTATTATTCTTAAGCGTTTCTGGAGTGTTGTCAATTGGATAAAGAAATAAGTAACTTGAAAATTCTGGATTGAGATTTTGTTAATTATTTTTTACTATCCTTTAATTATGACAAATTACTGTTTGATAATTTCGAACTATACTTTAATTATTGCGAACAAAGCTATTTATCAACTACTATGTTTATTTATTCGATATCTAATAAAGAGAGAGAAACAAATTTTTTATTTGAAAGAATTCTGATTCCTCAGAGTTGTAGTATCATTAGCAAGTTTCGCCTGAAGTGAAATCGCAACTGCTTTCATTAAAAATCGACTGCTTTTGTTATATTTTTTTCTCTGTTTGGTAAAAAAAAAAAATATAAAGGTAGAAGATTGTTTATGCATATGCTTAGGATTATTTATTGCTAAAAAAAGTTATACATTTCTAATTCCACTTTGATTTGAGTTTTTTCCCCTATTCACTATAAACTTCGTACTTAATACATTGATTTTTCTTATTCATAACTTTTATAAAGATTTTTTTTTAATTCAGTTGATTAGATTATATCCTTCCTTAAGAGAAGGGTGTGATCTTCTTTTCTTTCTTTCATCCATAGCTTAGTAATAATTTATGTTATACCCATCAAAGTTCAGTAATATTCAAAAACTGTTTAGCATTTAACAAAATATCTTCCTTAAATTTTTGAGCAGTTCCTGAAAGTTCTAATAAGAAGTAGCTGAACATGTATATCCTTGAAATCTGATGCACTAGATTTACGCAATCAAAATGTGCATTTTTAACATTCTAAGCAAATGCATGTTGGAAACTGATTACAATGTTTTATAGCTGTTTCACTGGTGCTGAAAGCCCATTTGGCAGAAATTCTTCAGTGAACAGTATTAATTATATGAGCTTAATAATTCTTAAATTTAATGGACACTCCATTATGAATTTCATAAAGAATTCTTAAAAACCAAAAGAGAATGTCTTTTTCTTTTCTTTTTGGAGTGTATATTTCAGAACTATGTGACTAAAGTGTGTGTATATTTAACTCAATTACTCAATCTAAATTTGAGTTGAATTTTTGATTTTTAGGATTCGATTTTTTTGTTGAACATCCTCATCCTTATGTGATAAAAATTTGTGAAATGGTAAAAGGTAAGCATTTGCTTAAACAAATTAATGTTATATTGATTCTGTTTTTAAAGCTTACTTAGGAAAACCTGGTCATTCATTATCAATTCCTAAGTATTAGTGATAGTAATAATTATCACACCTTTGCATTTAGTATGGTTCAAGGAATTATTATGCATTGAAACTGTATTATATAATGAATTATATCTTAAAAAGACTTAACCAGTAGTATTATCAGAATNTAAAATTGCTATGTTTCAAGCATTTAGTGTTGAACAAAGATCATCGTGTATCAGAAATTAGTATTAATTTGTATTATCTTATCCACATTAAATGATGGAAATGATGTTCATTATGTATCATATTAACTTATTATATTAATTTATTATATTATAATTAACCATTTATTTAAACGTTTATGTAAATTGAAATAATACGATTAAAATCAACATAATTTAATTTGTTGGATTTTATTCTCAGAATTTGGCTTTGTCTGCAAAGTGATCAGCCTAATATTTAAATATGGATTTTTTTTTTCCTTCTTATTTTTAAGTATTTATGTACAAAAATATAAAATTCTTATTTAAAATAATACTGACCTAAAGACAGGATGAAACAAGTATCACTATGTAGTATGTAACTGCACTGTGTTCAATATAGTACTTAGAAAGAAAAAAAAATCTGAAGTTGAAAATAAAAAATTTATTTAAAAAAATCATTAAAAAAAAATTAAGTTATGAAAACTTTATTTTATATTTTTGAAAATAATTGAAAAAAATCATAAAAAATAATTTTCTTTTCAATTATTTTAGCTTATGATTGAGATAATTGGTTATAAAAATTATTGGTTATTTCTGTTTCAAAATATTTTGTAAAAACTAATCTAAAATGTAAGGGGAAAGAAAGGAAGCACAAAAAATCTCTCCATGATAAAAAAGTAGACAATAAGTATTCCACTTCTTTATCAATCTCTTACTTAATCTGCACAATTTTATCTTTCCCATTTATTTGTAGACAAAATAAGAAAAGAGTTATATTTATGTGGCCAATATTTATGTGGCCAAAATAAACATATAGTTCTTGATACTGTGTAACCATGTTTTTTTTTTTGTACTTTTTTTACAGGGCACCTATGCGACTTAAAAGTACTTAATTTTGCATTCCAAAAATTAAGTATTAAATGTCCTTGTTTTAAGTTTAGGTATTTTAAGTCCTTACTCTTTCCTCAAAGAAAAAATATAAAAGAAATTCTATGTATATATTATATCATTTTAAAAATAAAGGCTCGAATTTGAGTAATATCCTTTTGATATGTTCGATTTATTTATTTTTTTAGGATTGAGAACTTTTTTGTTTTTGTTGTTTTAATTATAGCAAAGCATTTAAACTGAGTTTTTCATATAGACTTAATTTTTTTTATTGTTCCTTTTCCCTGTGCGAAAAAAAAGAAAGAAAAAAGCTAACCTAGAAAAGTGTGATTCTCTATTAAAGTTACATTTCAGAACTAAGAACAGTTTTTATTCTGTTATATATATATATTTTTTTTTATTTATTCAATTCTCTATTTATCAGCGTTTTTATTATGACACAGCATTTTGTAAAGGGCGTTTTCATTGAACATTATTCTTTTATGGTCACTTTTTTTCTAAAAATATGGCTATGTAAGGAAGTTGAATTGAGATTTTTCAGCAAATAAATTTTTTGTTTAAAAATTGAGCAATTTTTGTTTTGGTCTCTATCAAGCTTTTTAATTTTTTCTTACATAATTTATATATGGCTATTTATAAATAATTTTGTAACTGCTAGTCATACCTTTTAAGTTATTTTCATCTTTCGCAAAAAATCAATGTAATGAAAAGCCTCAGTTTTAAGAAAAGGAATAATATTTTTGATCTGACTTTTTAATGTATAAAAATCTTTCTAACACTGTTAACTAAATTGTTTGAGCTCTAAGTAAACATGAAAGAAATTTACAATTATTAATTACTTTTCTTCTAGGTAAAAATCTTCCCAAATTACCAGGTTTTTATTTATTTATTTTTGCAATTCGATTTTAAGGTACTCTACGTAACTTTTTTTTTTTTTTTATTTCCAAATTTTTAAAAAAAAATATCAACTGTGGATGTTCTTGAACTACTGGTTAATTTTTGGCAAGAAATATTCAGGTTTTTTTTGTTCAAAACTGTAACACTTAAAAAGTTCATATCAGGATGGCCACAAAACAGGGAATTCAATTAAATACCCACAATGTCATGAAAAATGAATTAATTTTATGGGGTACCTAAAAATTTAATCTTTTTATTTGAACCCTAATAGCAAATATAAATATTTTATATTTTATGTATAAAAATATGGTAGAATAAAAAATTAATAATTATATGGTTGACCTGGTTGCAAGGAAATTCAATAAAATAAGTCTAGAAGAGTCATTCTTTGAGTGTCTGTGGTCGCCCTAAATACAATTTATGTTTGGGCAACCAGAATAAATCCCAAGACTTCAAAAGTTTGTGTTTCTTTTTCGATATTTAATTTGAAATGCTATCAAAGCTAAATTAAATTGTGCATAATAATGATAATTCTTTTTTATTTTTATAGCTGGTAAAGATCTTGGGTCAATGTCATACTTATTGGCTACTACCAGGTATATAAAATTTTTACTTTTTTAAATTAAAAAAATGTTTCTTTTATTCTCTTCTGTTCTTTTTTCTTTCTTCTAGAACTTCTTATCTTACACTAATATTTCCTCTGTTAAGAATTGCATTAAAGGGATGTGTGGTCGTTTAAGGAATAGAAACTAAAGATCTGTAAGGTACAATAATGTTTTTTCTTCTTTTTTTAAAAAATCTATCACGGTAGTGCAAAGTTCATACAGTATTGATTAAAAGGTTTATATCTCATAAGATTGCTGTTTGAAACTATTGCTAAATATATATACTATTAAATACGGTATGTAATATTTTATTTATTTCAAAAATCATTCACAAAATAATCAATGTTAATTCTGAAGTTTTGTCAAGTTAATTTGAAGTTTTTTGTTTTAGGTTTTCTATTTTAGCACAGTTTTAAATTACTACTTCTCTGCATTGGGGGGAAAAATTTCAAAACAATATTTTTATTTTATTGCACATAAAAATCTAAAGTTATATCAAAGTTTTTAACTACTTTGTGAGTAGTTCCGTGGACCTTTTCTTTAGAGAATGAATCTTAATTAAATTAAAGGATTCCCAGTGTTTTCATCGCGGAAAAAAAAAATGGGTGAGAATTTCTCACCCTTTCTCAAAAACAGGGTGAGATTTCAAAAAGTTAAGTGAGATTTCTAAAAATTTAAAAAAAAATAAAATAAAGNAAAAAAAAAAAAAAAAAGGCACAAAGAGACTTGAAAAAAATAATAATTTCTTTCATTTTTAACATCTTCTAATTTTTAAAGCATTGAATATTTTTGTTGCATCATTATATCAAAAATGTTCTGCATCTACTTTTTCATCAGCTATTCTCATTAGGTTGCTCAAGTGCATGTTTGTTTCGTTTTGATCGTTTCTACCCACGTTTGTTTCATTTGTCCGTTTCGGAGTAGAAGATATTGCCTTTGCAAACTTTGCAAGAAGATATTGCCTTTTTGTCTATCTTACATTAATGCGCAAAAAAATTTGAACTTTTTACATGGAGAGACCTTAACTACGGTAAACACGTGGTTGCAGAGAAATGCGTTCTGAAAGAGGTTTCGTGTTCTGTTGTTCTTAAAGGTTCTGAACAATATTGGTAAATAGGGAAGCTAGATACTGGGGCAGATGTTGAAAATAATGAAAGATCCATTAAGAAAAATGTAACTGATTTTATTCTAAATGGCACAACGAGAAATTTTTTTTAAAATGCGAGAAATTCGGGATTTTTGAAATTGGTTTATAGAATGCTCTAATTTCTCGCGGTAATAATTTTTTAATGCGAGAAAAGAGAAAAATATGCGAGATTCGCGCTGTAATGAAAACACTGGTTCCAATATATAACTATTTGCATAAAGTTTATAATACTAGGTGTTTTTAAAGGATATTATCTTCTTTATATTCATATTCCATTTCTTGTTTTTCTTAAAAGAAAAATTTTAATATTGTGTTCATAAGAATTTGTTGCAACTTCATTTCAGTAATCTTTCTTTTTTAAATTTGCTTTTATTCTCATTCTGTCTTGGATATTCTTCTTTTCTAATTTTGCGTCAATCGAGTATTTTATAAGTTGTTCAGTAGAGTAAATGGTAATTAATTTTTTTATTAATAATAAAATTGCATTAATTCTCATCTCCTTTCAATTTAGTTTGCAATTGACAACACTGTGCCTGATGTACAAGCCTCAAACGGTTGCCTGTGTTTGTTTTTATCTTGCTTGCAAGTGGTCTCAATGGAAGGTAATTTGCTGTTCCAAACTTTATTATTTCATTCTCTTTAATCGTGATTTATAACTAAAGTTTTTTGTACTGACAATGTTCTAAACTTTCAATTAACTATAAGTAAAGAGCTTTAAATAAGCATTTCACTATAATTTAACTGTTTGTGCTGAATAATTTTACATGCTTATTTGTATTTATTATTTATATTTTTTTATGAATTAATTTGCTAAATATTTTCAGACCTTTTGTACTTTTCCCACTCTCATGCCTGCAAAACTTTAAAATAAGTACTAAAGTATTTCAAGATGCCTTTTTTTTTTTTTTTTTTTAAAGTATGTTAGAAATGACTTGTATGAACCTGAAAATGAGTTTAATTTTTTAATCAGTGGAGACCATTATTTAAGCCTTCTAATTTATACTAATACTTTATAGTCTCATCAGGGTTCGCCTTTTATGCACTTCTTGTTTAATGTTTTAACCATGAAATCTATTAAATATCTTAAAATATTTTTACTCATTTATATACTTTGACTATGGCTCAATTTGTTTTGATATATTGACCCACTACTAAAAGCTGTAATGATAGACAGCAACATGCATTATTAATGCCGTTATTAATGTTTTTCTTAACTAAATGAGCATTTCCCCTTTGGCTATAGAAATTTAGTATTTCTTTAATAAAACTTAGTATTTTTAAAAAAATTTGTTTCTCTTCTCTAAGTAATTAATAAATCTATTCATCATTGTATTGAAATAGATAATATAGCAATATGCATGTTTGTTCTTACTCTCGGTACAATATGACATTTGAAATATTTATATTCTTTTACTTAGTTAAAACCTGAGGTTCATGTATATCAGGGATCTGTCTAGGTTTTTCTGAAAGGTACCTATTTTGTGAGAATTTAGACCTAATTTGTAAAAATTATATTAAGAAAATATGGATTTATCCTTTCTTACGGGATGCAAAAATAAAATTTTAAGAAAGAGTATTCTGTGAAACTACCGTTTTTCCTGAAGTTGAATTTGTGAAGGTACCGCTAAACAGTAGTAAATTTAGCCTGGACAGACCCCTGTATATGTACCTAAAATTAGCCTCTAGGCAGTATAAAAAAAAAAAAAAAATCTTATGGCAATAAAATAGAAATTTGCAACAATGAAATATTTTTTCTGCATTCTTTTATATTTCAGTAGTTAATATTAAGAAATATATATGGAACATTTTTGAAAAATGCTAAATGGGTCATTTTGAAACAGTTAAATGTTTCCGTTAAATTCTTCCATAGAAAGACAAGAGTATTGGCTAAAATATTTATTAGTAGTTGTATTTTAAATCATATCCCTCTTGACCAATAAATATTAATTTCATTTAAAATTCCTTACAAACAAGTCCTTAATGCAAAAGGACGTGATTGTAGGTGAAGAAAAGTCACTCGGTTACTATTCACATGGAAAATAAATTTATTATTGTATGCTGTTTGGCAAATTGGATTATTAATTATTATTATGTGTAAAATGTTGATTGTTAAGTTTGATAATTTGTTATAGATTGATCCTTGCTCAAAAGGGAAAGATTGGTTTCATTATGCTGACCAAAGTATGACTTATGAAAAACTGGAAGGTATTTTAATTTGTTTTATTGATATTTTTTTCCTTCTTCCTAACTTAATAGCTCTCACAATTAAAATCAAACGCTGGAACAAATCCAACTTCAAACTTCAGCATGTGGTCTCTTAATATGTGTGTTATAACCAAGGCTGTTGTTTCAGAATCAGAGTTGGGCAGGATTTGGGATAAAAGGAGTCAGGTTTGAGATGGTTCCAAATTTCATATTTCGTTGGATGACGATTAGATGGCTAAGAAAGCCATTTCTAAACTTTCCTTGTAAATGAAATTATTTGCAGAACAATTGAAGTATTCAAATCAGGACAGTCAGACTGCAAACATTATTTGAGTCTCTATCATCCTTTTCCAGTAATGAATTAGATTTTGAGAAATATTTAAATAATATTAAAAAGGCTAAGACAAAGCAAATGGAAATTTTTAAAAAAACCTTTCAATATAAAAATGTAAAAAATACAAACAAGACTCACCACAAACTTGACAGATTGCTTTTGCTAGGGACCTCTTTTAGTACTTCTACAAATCTATCTTGAAAAGTTTAAAAAAGGAACAGTAAGAAGTTTTCTTCCTCAAGTTAGTGTGGAAAGACTATTCTCTCTCAGTTTATGAAATAGGATCTATCAGGGCTCGAAAAATCGCCCGCCCTCGGCGTTCAAAAATTCCTTGTGGGCAACAAATTTCTCAAATCTGAAATCCGCACGGACGGCCATTTTCCCGTTAATTGTTCATGATACATTTTCAATTTTTATTATCCTACAAGAGTCCAGCGCCTCACTTCTAAAATGACCCTCTAATCTGGAAATACAGCAACATACTGCTCATGATGGGATTGATGTTTTCTATGTCTGGGAATACTGCAGCGGTTAAAAGGGGCTTTTCAGCAATGAACTTACAAAAAAACACATTACGTACTGGTTTTAAACAAGAGTTA